ATTATCACATACAGGTATGTGACAATTAGATTAGCCATAAGTGGAGCAGTTTCATTAAACATTTGCTGTAAAATATTGATGAATGAAGAGGGTAGAGACAATTGTAAAAGTGCAAAAAAAGGATCCAAACAGATAGCTGGTTGAAATATGAATAGACAACAGTGGTTTTGTGAATCATGCTCATGCATACTTTACCAACATGCTTCTGGTGTGTGTGTGTGTGTGTGTGTGTGAGAACAGTAAATGGTGAAGAAGAACCCACTCAATTTAACCATAAATATGCCATAAACATACAGTAATCTTCAACAGACACGGGCTGGCACCAACACTAAACAACTGTCCAATAAAATATTTTATGCAACTGTGTTAAAAATATCAGCTGTTGATAACAAAATGCCATTAGGCCTGCCGCCTATGTCTAAAAGCACTTGAGAATAAAAACGCCTGGCTGATAAACAGTCTAGGGAAGGAGGGCCTGTCTGTTTATGAAGGAAAAGTGATTCATCACACATATAGGTGAAAATAGCTGAGAGTTAGGTTAAGAGGTAGGTTAACTGAAATGGGAATAGCCTGCATGGTCCACGCCACAGTAAATCAATGTTCTATAGGCCTATGTAGGGCTGCACAGATGTGGAAGTCTTTGATCCTATCCATCATGTGGAACACAGGGTCATTGATCATAGGACTGTTTGATCTGCTCAGCATGGGAACCAATTGATGCTGTGAAACACAATGGCTGAGTTGGGATGGCCAAGGGTCCATGGAATGAGTGTCCAATATAGGCTACTATCCGAAACCCAGTCTTATGCTGAAGGCAATTGCTCAAATAATCATAATACATACACTATATATACACAAAAGTATGTGGACACCCCTTCAAATTAATGGATTTGGCTATTTCTGCCACACCTGTTGCTGACAGGTGTGTAAAATCGATCACACAGCCACGCAATCGCCATAGACAAACATCGACAGTAGAATGGCCTTACTGAAGAGCTCAGTGACTTTCAATGTGGCACCGTCATAGGATGCCACCTTTCCAACAAGTCAGGTCGTCAAATTCCTGCCCTGCTAGAGCTGCCCTGGTCAACTGTAAGTGCTGTTATTGTGAAGTGGAAACTTAAAATATCAACGACAGCTCAACCTCGAAGTGGTAGGCCACACAAGCTCACAGAACGGGACTGCCAAGTACTGAAGCGTGTAGCGTGTAAAGATCGTCTGTCCTCGGTTGCAACACTCCCTACCGAGTTCCAAACTGCCTCTGGAAGCAACGCCAGCACAAGAACTGTTTGTCAGGAGCTTCATGAAATGGGTTTCAATGGCCGAGCAGCTGCACACAAGCCTAAGATCACCATGCGCAATGCCAAGCGTTGGCTGGAGTGGTGTAAAGCTCGAAGCCATTGGAAAGGTGTTTTCTGGAGTGATGAATCACGCTTCACCATCTGGCAGTCCGACGTACTAATCTGGGTTTGGCGGATGCCAGAAGAACGCTACCTGCCCCAATGCATAGCGCCAACTGTAAAGTTTGGTGGAGGAGGAATAATGGTCTGGGGCTGTTTTTCATGGTTTGGGCTAGGCCCCTTAGTTCCAGTGAAGGGAAATATTAACGCAACAGCATACAATGACATTCTAGACTATTCCGTGCTTCCAACTTTGTGGCAACAGTTTGGGGAAGGCCCTTTCCTGTTTCAGCATGACAATGCCCCTGTGCACAAAGCGAGGTCCATACATAAATGGTTTGTCGAGATCGGTGTGGAAGAACATGACTGGCCTGCACAGAGCCCTGACCTCAACCCCATCGAACACCTTTGAGATTAATTGGAACGCTGACTGCGAGCCAGACCTAATCCCCCAACATCAGTGCACGGCCTAACTAATGCTCTTGTGGCTGAATGGAAGCAAGTCCCTGCAGCAATGTTCCAACATCTAGTGGAAAGCCTTCCCAGAAGAGTGGAGGCTGTTATAGCAGCAAGGGGGGGACCAACTCCATATTAATGCCCATGATTTTGGAATGAGATGTTCGACAAACAGGTGTCCACATACTTTTGGTCATGTAGTGTAGGCTATGTCTGCCCACTGGGTAAAAACTGGTTTAATCAATGTTGGTTTCACCATTTCAAACAAACATGGAAAACGGATTGGATCAATATAATGGAATGTCGTATTTTTTCCCCTAACTTCTAACCTAAATCCAATGACAGAGTTACATTTTTGGTTGATTTCACGTTGAATTCATGTCAGTTGACAACTCAACCAAATGTAAATAAAAACTAGACGTTGAACTAACGTCTGTGCACAGTGGGAGTGTCTGTGCGCTCAATGTAACGAATCACAATATAACCTAGCGACGAAAAAAGCGTCTAGACATTTCGCCTAAAATGATTGACCACACCACATGCGGTTTCTTCACTGTAGGCTGTCATCTTCACGTCCAATCTTATTAGGCCAATAGATACATGTAGCAATGGTGCAATGATGATCTAAATAGTATGGGTTTGTGTAAAATAGGCTTTGCTGTATAGGCTAGCCTACAGTTCATTTCTAATCAGCACATTTACTGCAAAACCAGATGGGCTACGCGCGCATACGGCTCCAAATATCACGCACAAATAGCGTTTTTGGGAGAGCATCCATTCATTTTAAATAGAACTGGATGAAAATGGCAAACGCGTCATGATTTTTTCCTCTCTCAATTGTCTGAGAATCACTTTTATTGTATTTTTTGCTGTCAAATGAAGCATGGAGTGCTTATTATTTCCGATGTGGTCCTCAAATCCCATTTAGCAATACGGGATGGCTTTAGGAGACGACTGTATCGCCAAAGCGATTAGACTATAATAAAACGCCAATATCATAACCTATAGAATATCCTGACAATAAAAATATGTAGGCCTATCTTACCTGTATTGTGCACTAGATCGATGCCGGATTCGGTGAGTAGGTTTGGGTCACTTTGAGATCTGCCTCGTTGCAAAAGACAGCCTTCTATTCCATTTCCATCGGATGTAGCCATGGGGATAGAGCACAGGAATTCGGACTACAATATTGAAAACCCTACCAGAGGCAGGCAAGGTCAGAAGTAAACAGCAGTAGTGCAGATATAATTCGTTCTGACAACAGCCGCTTTGAGCATCTAATGGGGGGCCATGGGTGCTGAGCAGAAATTCCTAGTATGTTGGAGCGCGTGTGTACGTGGGAGCGGTGATACGGATGTGCCCGTCTATATTCATGCGTTCATAACTAAGTGGGAATGTGGTAATTATCAGTTGTGAAGTCGTAAATACCAGTTGGATGGATTCATGTGCTTTGAACTCGTTGGGAAACGCCGATTGGCTACTGGCCAACAAGCTGTGACAACCTAAACTAAAAGTACAGCTATCACGCTTGTAAACAAATTATAGTGTTCAAAAACGCTTTTATCGCGGTAGGTGACGTCAGAGGTCAGCATGTAGAAGTCAGGAGCTCAGGGATGATAGACGAGTTTCCCACTAGTAATTACGAGTTGGAAGGGCGTTAAAGTGGATTTTCCCCAGTGGTATGTTGTAAATACCACCTTCAGACTTGGTTATTTGAACGCAGCATTAGTCACTGCCGCCTGACTGTTGCTCGCGACATTGGCAGCGTTTATACGCTGATTTATACAGACTGTCCCAATTCTGTTATTTTTCCCACTAATTGGTCTTTTGACCAATCACATCAGATCTTTTTCAGATCTGATTGGTCCAAAGACCAATTAGTGAGAAAAACAAATATCAGAATTGGTCTTCCTGTGTGAGCGCAGCAATTGTAGCCAGCAACACACATTTAGGCCAGGCCTACATACACATCTGAATGTAATAATGTACTGTCTGTCACCACATCAATGTCAACAAAGGCATTTATGATTTCTGATGCTGTTTTGGCCAATTCGAATTATTCTAATATCCACAATAATAAAATAAAATAAATGTATGCACGCACTTTGGATAAAAGCGTCTACTAAATGGCATATTAGTATTATTTATAATATGAGCATGGATGGTGATGAGGTTGAATAGAGCAAAACATCAAGATGTGGTTAAATTGGTTCATTGAAGAAATCTCAGCACTACAATGATTTTGAATTTTTTATATATTTTGTTATACTGCAACTTATCCCAATATCCTAATATTTCAATGTAATGTAATTATGAATGGCATTGAAGGGATTAACGATGCACTATGTAGAAATCGCTCCACCATTTCCTGGTTGCTAAAATTCTAATAGTTACCCTACTTTCAGTTTATGTGACAAAACAAGCAATTATAGTGTAGAGAATCATTGTACCATCTAAACCGCTGTGAAATATATTTTCCATAACCAAATATATTGTATTTTCAGCTGTTTGAAGCTGTTGTACCAAACCGAAAGTAAAATACATAAAAACGAATCTTAAGAACGAGAAGTATAGAAATAACTTACATACCTACCGCTTCTTAAACTTGCTTTCAATGAGAATGACAGATCTATAACTACAGTTCTATGTGAATTTGGTTGGTTTGCACAAAAAATCCATATTGCAGATTTAAGAAAAAAACAGCTGGATAGGCCTAGTGTTATTGGCTGAAGGGAGATCAGTAGCCAAGGCATATTATCCATAAGTAGAGAGAGTAATAACAGAAATTAAGGGACAATTTGGTATATCCATCAGTAGTCTAATAGGCTACTGGTTTAAAGGCCTGAGAAGCAACAATATAAAGCCTTCTCCTCGGCTTGACTGTGTAGCTATGAAAAACACAGATACATTAATTTTTTATATTCTGTTACATCAAAATGTAAATATGATATGCTCAATTGATCAAACAATTAATCAGATTTAAATGTTGCAGGTAACAAAGCAAGTTTAGATCAGTCGCTATGCCCATCTTTTGCGCAGTGATGATTGTCCATAATAAACTAAAATCCTTACATCCTATTGGTCAACATGACGCGCCGCCATTAAGCAGTCGGGAAAATGGCACCGCACTGGTGCAATATTTATATGCTGGCGTTCGTTCTTTGTGGATTAACATACGTGTTTGTTACAGCAGACATACAAGAAACAAATCAGGTGAAAGATGCTGAGAGCGTCTACGTTGATAGTGCACAGACGACGAATACACGAGTAACCGAGGGCCAAACCCATGCCGCGGAAGAGGAGAGGCAATTGGAGGCTACCAAGTTCGAAACGAATCTATCGTTAACAGATTCTCCAAGCGACAACGAAGCTGACCATGTGCAAACCCATGACATCCCTCCAACACCTCCCGCAAAAGACCAAACCCAAGAGGCCGCGAAAGAGGAGTGGCGGGACGCTATCGAAATGAATCTAGTTGATGCTCCAAGCCACAAAGAAGCTGACCATGTCTCTGACACTATGCAAACCCTAGACGTCCCTCCACCACTGCCTGCAAAATACCAGTTTCAGGAAGAGTTGGTGATCACACCATTGCATTCTGGGGATACTTACGCCAGTTTCCAGTTCCGTACCCTGTGGGATACAATCTTCTTGCGAGGAAGTAAAGAGTTTGATTTGAAATAATATTTGGGTCAATCACATTATGTTCTAGTCATCTATCTAGTAGCCACACAGGGACACTAGTCATCAGTGCATCTTCAGTCAAGATCCTGTAGTGTAGACCCACAGTGCGGGTTTTGTTCCAGCCCAGCACTGTGGTTCACGTTTGATTCAACTAACCAATCCAGGGCTTGATGAGTTGAATAGTTGAACAAGGTGTTGTTAGCCTTACAAGCCAGAATGTTGAATAAAATTACATTTAAACTTACTCTACCGGTTGTCTGCGGCTTGACCTTAAGCTGCTCGAATTTTGAGACAAAATGTCCACAGGAAAGTATTCTTTACCTGTTTAGTTTTATATTGGATATTGGGTTTTTCCCTCGTCAATAGCGATTGAACCAAGCATGAAAATTGTATATTCTGAATCAGGGAGGATGGAGAACGATCAACACTTTTTTGTGCATTTTTTATTTTTGAAATGTTTTTATCCGATTTCAATTTTCACAAAAATATTTTAAAAAATGTGTGGATTGTTCTCCGTCCTCCCCTGATTCAGAATATAACAATACTTTCCTGTGGATATTTTGTATGAATTTTCAAGCAGCTGAAGGACAAATAGCACAGACAACCGGTCGAGTAAGTTTTAAATGTAATTTTATTAAACATTCTGGCTTGTAAGGAATATTTACACGATTTTGCAGGCATTAGTTCCATGGAATGAGCATCCAATATAGGCTACTATCCGCAACCCAGTCTTATGCTGAAGGAAATTGCTCAAATAATCATAATACATACACTATATATAAAAACGTATGTGAACACTCCTTCAAATTAGTGGACAGGTGTATAAAATCGAGCACACAGCCATGCAATCTCCATAGCCAAACATCGGCAGTAGAATGGCCTTACTGAAGAGCTCAGTGACTTTCAACGTGGCATTGTCATAGGATGCCACCTTTCCAACAAGTCAGTTCGTCAAATTTCTGCGCTGCTAGAGCTGCCCTGGTCAACTGTAAGTGCTGTTATTGTGAAGTGGAAACGTCTAATAGTCGGGAACAATCAACACTTTTGTGTGAGTTTTTCAATTTTCAAAAAATATATAAATAAGTGTGGATTGTTTTCCGTCCTCCCCAGATTCAGAATATACCATTTTCATTGTCATGGCATATTTGTTTCAATAGCTATTAACGAGAGAACCTAACTAAAAAGTTGGGTAAACAATACTTTCATGTGGATATTTTGTATCAATTTTTGAGCAGCTGAAGGAGAAATAGCACAGACAACCAGTAGAGTAAGTTTTACATGTAACTTTATTAAACATTCTGTCTTGTAAGGAATATTTACACGATTTTGCAGGCATTAGTTCCAGGCTGTATATACCAATTAATTGTCTATTGCAACCTGATTAATCAGACTAACTTGCTGTGCATTCACTGTCATCCGTACATAGGCCCCATGCCTAATTTGTATGACAGTTATGTCCAAGTCAACATACTAGTGTTATATGCAACTCACTGTTTTCCCACAAAATGTATATTTTCAGTCTCCCACTACCGACTCTTCCCGACATCTCTGGGCCAGGTGATTTCGAAGTTTTCTGTGCGTGAGCTCCACATCTCCTTCACTCAGGGCTACAGGAGGACCATGCAGTGGGGCCAGACCTTCCTACCGTCGCCCCCTGGTGCCGAACTGTGGGTATGGTTTCAGGACACTGTCACGGAGTGAGTATATACTCTATATTTATCCACACAGGTTCACTTTCCTTACTGTTGAAGATAGCAGCTTTATATCTGTCATCATGGTTAGTAGACGTATATATCGATACATATGTGTGATGCTAGTCTCACCCATTTTGTAAACTATGACAGCCTGCACGAGGGACCAGTATGAAAATGTATGCACTCACTGACTGTAAGTCGCTCTGGATAAGAGCGTCTGCTAAATGACTTAAATGTAATACACCACTATCATTTGGCCCATTGATTCTTTGACCAAGAACGTGTCACAACATTTGACAGGCATGTCTTTCTCATTACTGGTGGCAGATACTGGCCATTTTACCCACCACCATTTCTCCCAAACTATGTCAGCATTGAAATTCTATTGAAGTGAATGATAACCCATCGTTTCGTCCTTTGTCTTGTAGTGTGGATGTTACCTGGAAGGAGCTGACCAACGTCCTCTCTGGGATCTTCTGTGCCTCGCTGAATTTCATTGACTCCACCAACACGGTGCAGCCCAGTGCCTCCTTCAAGCCTCTAGGCGTGGGCAACGGTAAGGCTCCTCACACTCAGCACCCAAGTCTCTACAGTAGCTAGCCTACCTCTGAACAGAGAGCAGGCTCGTGTTCATAAGGGATCAAATGGAAGAAAACGATCTGAAACAGCATGAAACGGGGAGGTACCATCTGTAATTGAGTGGCGCAGTGGTGTAAGGCACTGCATCGCAGTGCTAACTGTGCCACTAGAGATCCTGGTTCGAATCCAGGCTCTGTCGCAGCCGGCCGCGACCGGGAGACTCATGGGCGGCGCACAATTGGCCCAGCGTCGTCCAGGGTAGGGGAGGGAATGGCCGGGAGGGATGTAGCTCAGTTGATAGAGCATGGCGTTTGCAACGCCAGGGTTGTGGGTTCAATTCCCACGGGGGGCCAGTATAAAACAATTATATATATGTATTCACTAACTGTAAGTCGCTCTGGATAAGAGCGTCTGCTAAATGACTAAAATGTAAATGTAAATGTAATTGTCCGATCAGAAACACTTTTCTACGGTGTGCCCTATGAACAAGGCCACGTGCCAACCAATGCTTTGCATATGCACTCAAAGGAATCATGACGCAGTTACGGAATTAGATAGTACAGTATTATTAAAGATGTGAAACAATACCGTATTGATGTGTGTCCTGTATACGTCCTCTGCTATACAGTAACTGACCAGCGCTTTCTCCGCTATGCTGTGTTGCCGCGGGAGGTCGTTTGTACTGAGAATCTGACGCCGTGGAAGAAGGCTGGTCTGGCAGTCCTAATGAAGTCTGAGAAACTCTTCCACAGCAGCTTCCACTCCCAGGCTACACATCAGACCTGTGTCAGGTAAGGTGTATGTATATACAGTCTGTAGCTATATGTATTACAACACTATGGGCGACATTTTCATAGTGCAAAAGAATTGGGCAAATTGCAAAAATTACTGTAATCCTCATTATCTGGCATTATTACAACTACCTTTTATCATGTTGTCAGCCATATCAAAGAAAAAGAACCAGACATTTTTGTTGTTGACTTTTTAAAGTAATGATGTAGAAAATACCAAGCCACTGATTTCACCTTCCATCCTACTTGTAATCCCGTTTGAGAACCTGTCACTGTTGATGAGTCCCAGCCTTGACATGACACTCGGCTACTGTTGTTTCAGGACTGGCAGTGCAAGTCCACAGCGTGGGAGCTGAGACAGACACTGAACGTGGTGTTCGACCTGCACTCCTCTGGCCAGAGCAAACGAGGTGAGAGAGGCCTCTCCTCATTCAGTATTATACCCCTTTCGCAATACTGAGCTGAGCCGAGCTGTTCCTCGCTGGACTGGTTACGCATCGACCATATATTTGCTGGAAACGTGGACAATGTGAAAGGAAAATAACTGTGCCAGTACAGTTTAGGTCGACTTGATAGTGTGAAAAGGGTATAACTATACTGAACAAAATTATAAATGCAACATGTAAAGTGTTGCTTTCATGAGCTGAAATAAAAGATCCCAGTAATGTTCCATATGCAGAAAAAGCTTATTTCTCTAAAATGTTGTACACAAATTGGTTTACATTCCTGTTAGTGAGCATGTTTCCTTGACACAAACCGGTTCTGGGGACAATAAAAGGTCACTCTAAAATGTGCCGTTTTGTCACAAAACACAATGCCACAGATGTCTGAAGTTTTGAGGGAGCGTGCAATTGGCATGCTGACTGTAGGAATGTCCACCAGAGCTGTTGCCAGATAATTTAATGTTCATTTCTCTACCATAAGCCACCTTCAATGTTGTTTTAGAGAATTTGGCAGTACGTCCAACCGGCCTTACAACTGCAGACCACATGTAACCACACCAGCCCAGGACCTCCATATCTGGCTTCTTCACCTGCGGAATCGTCTGAGACCAACCACCCTGACAGCTGTTGAAACTGGGTTTGCACAAGTGAAGGATTTCTGCACAAACTGTCAGAAGCCATCTCAGGGAAGCTCATCTGCTTGCTCATCGTCCTCACCAGGGTCTTGACCTGACTGCAGTTTGTCATCGTAACTGACTTCAGTGGGCAAATGCTCACCTTCGATGGCCACTGGCACGCTGGAGAAGTGTGCTCTTTACGGATGAATCCCAGTTTCAACTACCGGGCAGATAGCAGACATTAGTATGGCGTCATGTGGGCGAGCGGTTTGCTGATGTCAACGTTGTGAACAGAGTGCCCCATGGTGGCGGTGGGGTTATGGTATGGGCAGGCATAAGCTATGGACAACGAACACAATTGCATTTTATCAATGGCAATTTGAATGCACAGAGATACTGTGACGAGATCCTGAGGCCCATTGTCGTGCCATTCATCCGCTGCCATCACCTCATGTTTCAGCATGATAATGCACAGCCCAATGTCGCAAGGATCTGTACACAATTCCTGAAAGCTGAAAATTCCCAGTTCTTCCATGGCCTGCATACTCACCAGACATGTCACCCATTGAGCATGTTTGGGATGCTCTGGATCGACATGTACGACAGTGTGTTCCAGTTCCCGTCAATATCCAGCAACTTTGCACAGCCATTGAAGAGGAGTGGGACAACATTCCACGGGCCACAATCAACAGCCTGATCAACTCTATGCGAAGGAGATGTCTGGCGCTGCATGTGGCAAATGGTGGTCACACCAGATACTGACTGGTTTTCAGATCCACGCCCCTACCTTTTAAAAAAAAAGGTATCTGTGACCAACAGATGCATATCTGTATTCCCAGTCATGTGAAATCCATAGATTAGGGCCTAATTAATTTATGTCTATTGACTGATTTCCTTACATGAACTGTAAAATCTTTGAAATTGTTCCATGTGGGTTTATATTTTTGTTCAGTTTAATATCACCTCACTATTGCTAAAACATGCTGTTATTACCTAAATGTACAGTCTCCTCTTGCGCTCTGACACTGCTTCATATACAGTGTGGAGAACAAGTATTTGATACACTGCCGATTTTGCAGGTTTTCCTACTTACAAAGCATGTAGAGGTCTGTAATTTTTATCCAGAAAATCACATTGTATGATTTTAAAGTAATTAATTGGCATTTTATTGCATTACATAAGTACACTGCTCAAAAAAATAAAGGGAACACTAAAATAACACATCCTAGATCTGAATGAATGAAATAATCTTATTAAATACTTTTTTCTTTACATAGTTGAATGTGCTGACAACAAAATCACACAAAAATAATCAATGGAAATCAAATGTATCAACCCATGGAGGTCTGGATTTGGAGTCACCCTCAAAATTAAAGTGGAAAAACCACACTACAGGCTGATCCAACCTTTATGTAATGTCCTTAAAACAAGTCAAAATGAGGCTCAGTAGTGTGTGTGGCCTCCACGTGCCTGTATGACCTCCCTACAACGCCTGGGCATGCTCCTGATGAGGTGGCGGATGGTCTCCTGAGGGATCTCCTCCCAGACCTGGACTAAAGCATCCGCCAACTCCTGGACAGTCTGTGGTGCAACGTGGCGTTGGTGGATGGAGCGAGACATGATGTCCCAGATGTGCTCAATTGGATTCAGGTCTGGGGAACGGGCGGGCCAGTCCATAGCATCAATGCCTTCCTCTTGCAGGAACTGCTGACACACTCCAGCCACATGAGGTCTAGCATTGTCTTGCATTAGGAGGAACCCAGGGCCAACCGCACCAGCATATGGTCTCACAAGGGGTCTGAGGATCTCATCTCGGTACCTAATGGCAGTCAGGCTACCTCTGGCGAGCACATGGAGGGCTGTGCGGCCCCCCAAAGAAATGCCACCCCACACCATGACTGACCCACTGCCAAACTGGTCATGCTGGAGGATGTTGCAGGCAGCAGAATGTTCTCCACGGCGTCTCCAGACTCTGTCACGTGCTCAGTGTGAACCTGCTTTCATCTGTGAAGAGCACAGGGCGCCAGTGGCGAATTTGCCAATCTTGGTGTTCTCTGGCAAATGCCAAACGTCCTGCACGGTGTTGGGCTGTAAGCACAACCCCCACCTGTGGACGTCGGGCCCTCATACCACCCTCATGGAGTCTGTTTCTGACCATTTGGCAACATGCACATTTGTGGCCTGCTGGAGGTCATTTTGCAGGGCTCTGGCAGATCTCCTCCTGCTCCTCCTTGCACAAAGGTGTAGGTAGCGGTCCTGCTGCTGGGTTGTTGCCCTCCTACGGCCTCCTCCACGCCTGTCTCCTGGTAGCACCTCCATGCTCTGGACACTACGCTGACAGACACAGCAAACCTTCTTGCCACAGCTCGCATTGATGTGCCATCCTGGATTAGCTGCACTACCTGAGCCACTTGTGTGGGTTGTAGACTCCGTCTCATGCTACCACTAGAGTGAAAGCACCGCCAGCATTCAAAAGTGACCAAAACATCAGCCAGGAAGCATAGGAACTGAGAAGTGGTCTGTGGTCACCACCTGCAAAACCAGTCCTTTATTGGGGGTGTCTTGCTAATTGCCTATAATTTCCACCTGTTGTCTATTCCATTTGCACAACAGCATGTGAAATGTATTGTCAATCAGTGTTGCTTCCTAAGTGGACAGTTTGATTTCACAGAAGTGTGATTGACTTGGAGTTACATTGTGTTGTTTAAGTGTTCCCTTTATTTTTTTGAGCAGTGTATTTGATCACCTACTAACCAGTAAGAATTCCGGCTCTCACAGACCTGTTAGTTTTTCTTTAAGAAGCCCTCCTGTTCTCCACTCATTACCTGTATTAACTGCACCTGTTTGAACTCGTTACCTGCATAAAAGACACCTGTCCACACACTCAATCAAACAGACTCTAACCTCTCCACAATGGCCAAGACCAGAGAGCTGTGTAAGGACATCAGGGATAAAATTGTAGACCTGCACAAGGCTGGGATGGGCTACAGGACAATAGGCAAGCAGCTTGGTGAGAAGGCAACAACTGTTGGCGCAATTATTAGAAAATGGAAGAAGTTCAAGATGACGGTCAATCACCCTCGGTCTGGGGCTCCATGCAAGATCTCACCTCGTGGGGCATCAATGATCATGAGGAAGGTGAGGGATCAGCCCAGAACTACACGGCAGGACCTGGTCAATGACCTGAAGAGAGCTGGGACCACAGTCTCAAAGAAAACCATTAGTAACACACTATGCCGTCATGGATTAAAATCCTGCAGCGCACGCAAGGTCCCCCTGCTCAAGCCAGCGCATGTCCAGGCCCATCTGAAGTTTGCCAATGACCATCTGGATGATCCAGAGGAGGAATTGGAGGTCATGTGGTCTGATGAGACAAAAATAGAGCTTTTTGGTCTAAACTCCACTCGCCGTGTTTGGAGGAAGAAGAAGGATGAGTACAACCCCAAGAACACCATCCCAACCGTGAAGCATGGAGGTGGAAACATCATTCTTTGGGGATCCTTTTCTGCAAAGGGGACAGGACGACTGCACCGTATTGAGGGGAGGATGGATGGGGCCATGTATCGCGAGATCTTGGCCAACAACCTCCTTCCCTCAGTAAGAGCATTGAAGATGAGTCGTGGCTGGGTCTTCCAGCATGACAACGACCCGAAACACACAGCCAGGGCAACTAAGGAGTGGCTCCGTAAGAAGCATCTCAAGGTCCTGGAGTGGCCTAGCCAGTCTCCAGACCTGAACCCAATAGAACATCTTTGGAGGGAGCTGAAAAGCGACAGCCCCGAAACCTGAAGGATCTGGAGAAGGTCTGTATGGAGGAGTGGGCCAAAATCCCTGCTGCAGTGTGTGCAAACCTGGTCAAGACCTGCAGGAAACGTATGATCTCTGTAATTGCAAACAAAGGTTTCTGTACCAAATATTAAGTTCTGCTTTTCTGATGTATCAAATACTTATGTCATGCAATAAAATGCAAATTAATTACTTAAAAATCATACAATGTGATTTTCTGGATTTTTGTTTTAGATTCCGTCTCTCACAGTTAGTGTATCTATGACACAAATTACAGACCTCTACATGCTTTGTAAGTAGGAAAACCTGCAGTGTATCAAATACTTGTTCTCCCCACTGAAGGTGCATTTGCCTGCTAGCTATACTTTGCAAAGCAAAAATGGCACATTTTTCTAATCAAAATTTATTTAAAGTGAATTTACAATAGCAACCCACTTTACAGTAAAACAATCAAATGAAGGAGATGAAGAACAAATAACTTTTCATGGAAAAGTCACTTCTTTCTGCTGTGGTGTACAGACATTGGTCTTCTGAGCTCCATGAAAAAGACTGGTCACTGCATTTAGAAACATACAAAATGGAGGCCATGAACATGATGGTGATGTGTTGGGTTACTGGGTGTTTCCACAGAGTGGTCCCTGTTCAAGATGTTCTCTCGTACCCTGACTGAAGCCCCCCTGGCCTCCTCCAGTAAAGTGGACGTCACAGACAACCCTCAGGTCAGCAACTTTACATGACCGCTAGCTTTACATTTCTAACTTTACATGATCGCATACTTTACACAACTAACTTTACATGACCTCTAACTTTACATTAATCCAAATTCTATTTAGTTAGCAGACGCTCTTACTCAGACTGACTTAGTTACTTCGTACAGTCAAGGAACAGGGCTTCAGCATCAGTTTGAGTTTCAAAAGCAAATTCTCTTTAAGTAAGAAGAAAAGTCAGCAGTCAGCACCAATAATACGTACAGAAATGAGAACAACTCAACACTCCACGGTCTTCCTATTGAAATGAGCCTTTCTCAGGCTGTTATTGGGACTGACGTCTTTGTGTATGCCAAGCTTTAGTCCAATCACTAACATACCTGCTACATTGGTGCATCGCAAAAGTAGTTGGCTGAGCTACTAAAACACCAGTCAACACTACTTGTATGGAGAAGTGCAATGGGGACTTGCTCTCAAGCTGTAGGTTCAAACAAATTCTCCAGCTGGTTGTCACCTACAAATGATCAGAGATCCGGAGTAAGGTTCATGGCAGGGCAGGCAACTACGGGAGATCAGATGTAACACTGAACACTCATTAGTTAGTCTTGTAAACGGACCCTAGATAGGGTAGTTGTTCAAATTGAAACGTTAGTCTCATTAGTTAGGCTTTTAAACAGACACTAGATGGGGTAGTTGTTTAAATTAAAATGTTAATGAGTTTCTATTTTAATCATGTTCATGTTCTTATGTAAGCTGGACTACAATTCAGTTTTCTTTATTGTAAACTGCCAATGTGTGCCATTGTGGCACATGTATTTGTGTAAATAAAACCTATTTATCTCTATCAATCCTATGGTAGTTGTGCAGGATGAGATTGTTGTTGTGTTTCCCTTATAGGGGGAGCTGTTTGAGTTGAGCCCAGCCACTCCCATGCTGAGCCAGGCTGTGGTGCTGGGGAATCGGAGAACCTACTCGGTCTAGGACCTCATCAACCAGGCCACGTTCGGACAGACGCGCTCCCTCAACATCCTGCTGCGATGGAGATCAGCAGAGAGTGGTGAATGAGTGACACAGGACAAGGACACGACTCCATATGTGGGCTGTGTTTCATTCCAGGAAAGATGTCCCCTCGACAGTCTGTTCACTTCTCTTACACAAGTGGAATAAGAAACAGTCCCTATCCCTCTTGTGTATTTTATTTAAAAAAAACTACTCAATCCAATTACAATGCAGTTACTAAAGTACTAAGAAACAGCATGTTAATACAATGTTGTTAATAGTATAATTTTCAGTTACTGCACAGTAAGATAATGTCGTGTTACAGAAAAGGGAAGATTTTGTGATATTAATGAATTTTCATGTAGGGTGTTTTTATAGAATTGACCATATAGAAGTTATATTTCTGTTCTAGTATTTATATTGACCATATGAATGCTCACTCCTTTCCTCCCACCAGGAGACATGCTGCGCCCTCTACTTCACGGAGAGCGCTATGTGTCAGGCTACGGGCTGCAGACGGGGGAGATCCACACCCTGGTGTACAACCACCACCCGTACCGGGCCTTCCCCGTCCTCCTGCTGGACACCGTGCCCTGGTACCTGCGTCTCTACATCCCACACACTCACTGTCACCAGCAAGGGCCGCGACAACAAACCCAGTGAGTACTGCTGCTGCTCACCTGTTGACATTGTTCCACCTAGGCCTGGGTCGTGTTCATTAGGCAACAAACCAAAAAAATCAGACTAAAACAGGGAGGGTCTTCCTGGCCTTGTCTAATATACAACTGTTTTTCCGTTGCAAAACATTTTCTGTTGGGTCCCCTACTGAATATGACCCTGGTTCCTTTTTGATCAACTAACGTTTAGATTTGTGCACTTTGAAGAAGTAGGGCCTAGCGTTGATATGAATGTCAGCTACATATTAATAGCTCTTGAGGGAAAGGCTGTGCATCTATCAGTTACATATTTATGACACTGAAGCACATAAATATGTAACTGATAGAGACACGCACACTACATGTTAATGTTTTAAAATGTATATTTTGTGTGTAATGCCTTTTCCGTTATGTGTTGTACCCCAGTAAGACTAGCTGTCGCCATTGGCGTTGGATAATGGGGATCCTAATAAAATAAATGAATGTGCCTGACCTACAATGTCACATTTAAAGAGAACTTGAAAGAGGTTTTTATATGCCTATTGGCTTGTTAGGAAATAGGAAAGGACGTGTCTTTTCAATATTAAGACATCCCTTTTCTTTTCCTATAGAAGTTGTTAATTTCAACAAACAATAAATAAGACAAAAAAACAGAACTGAGTGTGCATAACTATTCCCCCCCCCCCCCCCCCAAAGACAATACTTTGTAGAGTCACCTTTTGCAGCAATTACAGCTGCAAGTCTCTTGGGGTATGTCTCTATAAGCTTGGCACATCTAGCCACTGGGATTTTTGCCCATTCTTCAAGGCAAAACTGCTCCAGCTCCTTCAAGTTGGATGGACTCCGCTGGTGTACAGCAATATTTAAGTCATACCACAGATTCTCAATTGGATTGAGGTCTGGGCTTTGACTAGGCCATTCCAAGACATTTAAATGTTTCCCTTAAACCACTTGAGTGTTGCTTTTGCAGCATGCTTAGGGTCATTGTCCTGCTGGAAGGTGACCCTCCGTCCCAGTCTCAAATCTCTGGAAGACTGAAACAGGTTTCCCCTCAAGGATGTCCCTGTATTTAGTGCCATCCATCATTCCTTCAATTCTGACCAGTTTCCCAGTCCCTGCCGATGGAAAAACATCCCCACAGCATGATGCTGCCACCACCATGCTTCACTGTGGGGATGGTGTTCTCGGGATGATGAGAGGTGTTGGGTTTGCGCCAGACATAGTGTTTTCCTTGATGGCCAAAAATATCACTTTTAGTCTCATCTGACCAGACTACCTTCTTCCATATGTTTGGGGAGTCTCCCATATGCCTTTTGGCGAACACCAAACGTGTTTGCTTATTTTTTTCTTTAAGCAATGGCTTTTTTCTGGCCACTCTTCCGTAAATCCCAGCACTGTGGAGTGTACGGCTTAAAGTGGTCTCAACATCAACAGTGAAGAGGCGACTCCGGGATGCTGACCTTCTAGGCAGAGTTGCAAAGAAAAAGCCATATCTCAGACTGGCCAATAAAAAGAAAAGATTAAGATGGGCAGTCTGAGATATGGCTAGATATTCCTAGAAGGTCAGCAACCCGGAGTCGCCTCTTCACTGTTGACGTTGAGACTGGTGTTTTGCGGGTACTATTTAATTAAGCTGCCAGTTGAGGAACTGTGAGGCGTCTGTTTCTCAAACTAGACACTCTAATGTATTTGTCCTCTTGCTCAGTTGTGCACCGGGGCCTCCCACTCCTCTTTCTATTCTGGTTAGAGACAGTTTGTGCTGTTCTGTGAAGGGAGTACAGTGTCTACACTGTATTTCTGATCAATTTGATGTTATTTTAAAGGACAAAAAAATATGCTTTTCTTTCGAAAACAAGGACATTTCTAAGTGAGCACAACCTTTTGAACGTTAGTGGATGGATGGATGGATGGATGGATGGATGGATGGATGGCACCAATTGTGCAAGTTCTCCCACTTAAAAAGATGAGAGAGGCCTGTAATTTTCATCATAGGTACACGTCAACCATGACAGACAAAATGAGAGAAAAAAATCCAGAAAATCACATTGTAGGATTTTTAATGAATTTATTTGCAAATTATGGTGGAAAATAAGTATTTGGTCAATAACAAAAGTTTCTCAATATTTGTTATATACCCTTTGTTGGCAATGACACAGGTCAAATGTTTTCTGTAAGTCTTCACAAGGTTTTCACACACTGTTGCTGGTATTTTGGCCCATTCCTCCATGCAGATCTCCTGTAGAGCAGTGATGTTTTGGGGCTGTCGCTGGGCAACACAGACTTTCAACTCCCTCCAAAGATTTTCTATGGGGTTGAGATCTGGAGACTGGCTAGGCCACTCCAGGACCTTGAAATGCTTCTTACGAAGCCACTCCTTCGTTGCCCGGGCGGTGTGTTTGGGATCATTGTCATGCTGAAAGACCCAGCCACGTTTCATCTTCCATGCCCTTGCTGATGGAAGGAGATTTTCACTCAAAATCTCACGATACATGGCCCTATTCATTCTTTCCTTTACACGGATCAGTCGTCCTGGTCCCTTTGCAGAAAAACAGCCCCAAAGCATGATGTTTCCACCCACATGCTTCACAGTAGGTATGGTGTTCTTTGGATGCAACTCAGCATTCTTTGTCCTCCAAACACGACGAGTTGAGTTTTTACCAAAAAGTTCTATTTTGGTTTCATCTGACCATATGACATTCTCCCAATCCTCTTCTGGATCATCCAAATGCACTCTAGCAAACTTCAGACGGGCCTGGACATGTACTGGCTTAAGCAGGGGGACACGTCTGGCACTGCAGGATTTGAGTCCCTGGCGGCGTAGTGTGTTACTGATGGTAGGCTTTGTTACTTTGGTCCCAGCTCTCTGCAGGTCATTCACTAGGTCCCCCCGTGTGGTTCTGGGATTTTTGCTCACCGTTCTTGTGATCATTTTGACCCCACGGGGTGAGATCTTGCGTGGAGCCCCAGATCGAGGGAGAATATCAGTGGTCTTGTATGTCTTCCATTTCCTAATAATTGCTCCCACAGTTGATTTCTTCAAACCAAGCTGCTTACCTATTGCAGATTCAGTCTTCCCAGCCTGGTGCAGGTCTACAATTTTGTTTCTGGTGTCCTTTGACAGCTCTTTGGTCTTGGCCATAGTGGAGTTTGGAGTGTGACTGTTTGAGGTTGTGGACAGGTGTCTTTTATACTGATAACAAGTTCAAACAGGTGCCATTAATACAGGTAAAGAGTGGAGGACAGAGGAGCCTGTTAAAGAAGAAGTTACAGGTCTGTGAGAGCCAGAAATCTTGCTTGTTTGTAGGTGACCAAATACTTATTTTCCACCATAATTTGCAAATAAATTCATTAAAATTCCTACAATGCGATTTTCTGGATTTTTTTTTCTCAATTTGTCATAATTGACGTGTACCTATGATGAAAATTACAGGCCTCTCTCATCTTTTTAAGTGGGAGAACTTGCACAATTGGTGGCTGACTAAATACTTTTTTTCCCCACTGTATGTATACTTTTTTTTAAATATGGCTTTCCTGCTTCTGCAAATAAATACGAATTCTCTCTCCTCTACCTAGGTTACATCCACTACCAGCCGTCCAAAGACCGCCTTCGGCCCCACCTGCTGGAAATGTTGGTCCAGCTGCCCCCTAACTCTGTGATCGAGGTCACCGTACAGTTTGAGAGGGCACTCCTGAAGTGGACGGAGTACACCCCCGACCCCAACCACGGCTTCTACGTCGGGTATGACTTTGAAGTCTACAGAAACATAATAAATACCTATTTGTCTATGCTATGGGTCAAGTTCTGTACTCAATCTGTCTTTGTCTAAAGAAATGCTAACTGCAATAGAAACTATGACAGTTAATGCGCCCTTTTGTCATAACGTTGTGAGGTGTTGTTTGCCTATAATTGCTGTCATAGCTTTTAGATTTGTGCTTCAGAACTGGGTCCAAATACAATTAGGAATCTTTCAAATTCCTTTAGAAATTCCTTTAGCCTGCCTGGAGTGCCAGATGGGTGGAGTTTGCAGTTTTACCACTATTGGTTCCATTGTGCCAAGCAAGGTCAATCAATTATGAAATAATTTAAATATTTGTCTTGACTTTGATTTTGAATGAAGATGGGGCCATGGCTAAAATTGAGATATACCACTTGTTTGTAGTCTGCAGATATTCAGGTTTCCAGTAGCAGATATTTGATTAAATGTTGTCCCTCGCTTCAGGTCTTCTGTTATCAGTGCTCTCGTGCCCAGTGTTGTCGCCATGGATACCAACAGCACCCAGGAACGTCCGCTTTTCAGCAGCTTGTGAGTCATAAGGCTGTTTATTTTCTTTAAGTACTGGTTGAGCACTTACGTAGCAGTTGTCTTAAGTGTGTTAGTTTCTCACCTGAGGTAATGCAATTTAAATGAATCTCTGGAAATTACACCAAATAAAATCCTCTTTGAAAGTAGTGTACCATACCTCAATTCATTGATTTGGAATGGAATTGACCCCCAACCTTTATAGGTTATTGTAATAATGCATTTCTGTATTCCCAGTTTCCCATGTAAAGAGGAGTCCAGTTACTTCATGCAGGTCTACACGGAGCCTCTGCTAGTGAACCTGCCAACCCCTGATTTCAGCATGCCCTACAACGTCATCTGCCTCACCTGCACCGTGGTGGCTGTGGGTTACGGCTTCCTCTACAACTTCCTGACCAGCACCTTCCAGGTGGAGGAGCCCAGCCCGGGCCTGGCCAAACGGCTAGCCAACATCATCTGCAGGCTCAGGGGTGTGCCGCTGCTGTGATGGGCCAGAATGCTATCATGCTAACGCTAACAACATTATCTAGCACATTTTTGCAGTGGGGCAATGAGGTCAGGTATTACACCACTTGGGAAATGTGAAGATAAGTTTCAGGGAGATGCCACTTTAAGCATGTGAAGCTTCTGCAATAAAAACAAAACTCTCAGTTCTGTTTCGTGGATGAAAAAGGAGTTAAACAATGAAGTATTTGATGAAGTGTCATGGATTCGATGAACGTTCAAGGTATTTTCTCGCCGTGAGGAGCAAAAAGGGTGGTATTTCTTCAGTGCACTACTACTGTTGGTGTAGTTGAACAGAGAATAAGGCCTTTTTAGTGTTTGTAACGAAGGAACCAAAGTGTTTGCTCCAGGTTTCAGTGGGGACAGTTGGCTGCCAGATGCGGCAGCAGATCACAGCAAGCTCTGATATATCTGTAACTGGAAAAAGTCATTGCACTGTTTGAAGCCATTGTTCTAGAGAGATCTGATACACCTCTTCAATCTAAACATAAATAATATGTGTACTTTTAGTTGATGTTGAGTGCATGTTGAAAAGTTAAATGCACTGACTTACAGATCTTTCATAACCAGTTAGTTGGATTTCTATAAACATTTGTTCATTGCTCACAGAACCAGTCAACATGGTTGTACTTGTAGAAAACCCAACCATCTCTACTAGAAACGGCCATTGATTTGACCAGATTTTCCTTAGCCAGCCATTGTCTGTGTTTCTCATTGACGTTTGTGTTCTCTAAATGGCAGTAACTTTGGTAAGCCTTTCTAGCACAGATGCCCACCACTCAACTTTAAGGATATGAGTTTGCCATGCATTATTTAAGACCTGATTTACCAAGACAAATACACCCTTAATACATTTACTTTTTAAGACTGCTCATTCTTTGTATACTAAAACTGCTATTAATGCTTTACATTTTACTGAACAGCATGATAATGTTTGAAGATATGGGGTAACCTGGGCTGTTTATTGTATTTTCAATTAAATTGTCAACTGACCAAACATTTGTCATTTTTGTTTAATACATGGAGGCTTGTGAAGAACATAGAAAAAAGGATTGCACACTTGAACGACGTGGACTCTCATCCCAGTCCAAAACAGTACTTTTGGACTGATAGAGAACTCCTGAGAATAAATGATGAAGGAACACTTGGCCGCTGAGCATGGATTGGATCAACTGTATCATAATCCAGTTTAGGAGTCTTCACGACATAACATGTCATAAGCAGTCATAACAGCTGATGTAATTCTATGACAAGCCATACAGTATGGACCTATTCAGGCAGATGTAACGTTACAGAACATTCCGATAGAAATGTATCATGAACAGATATCATTGTCTACTTTATCAGATAGACTAGGGAAATTGTCTGCGCCATTCTATTTCTATCTGCAACGTTCAGATTGTTTCAAATCACTTAATACACCCCAGGACCAGGAGTTCACTTTCTGTATCCCATTTCACTTGCCTCAGCTGTGGAAGTGTGTGTATGTGAAGGGGAGGGAGCGGCTGATTATTTTCTCGATAAACAAGCTTGGCCTCACTCCTGCCAAGTTCCAACAGAACACAGACAGACACAGAGGTCTCTTTCTTTGCAAGTCAGCAATTTCCTCTCTCGCATGTGTTTGGCAATCTAGAGTGGGGGGAAAAAAGCCCTCTGCATTCCAAATCAAAAGCCTTGTTTATACCTGGCGCTAACAGACGTACTGTGTCCTGATCTTGTCCACATTCAGATTGTGCCCACATTTTCCAGACATCTGTCTACACGTGGTATTGAAATGTGTCTCTTGTCCGTACACGGTGTACGCATTGTGACCAGATTTCCCGGTCCCTCCCTGTTCATTGTTTATTTTAATGTGCATATTGATGCCATAAGTCAAATGTGCCACCTGTAAATGATTTAGGGGGCGGGATAATTACGATTTAAATGGTTTCACTGTCCAGATCCGTCTACAAATGCGTGCCTGACTACCTCCGGCGGTGGGCAGGAATATCTGATCGTGGACAGGATCAGGACAAAGGATGCATGTTAGAACCAGGTATAAACAGGGCTAATGATGGTCATGTCTGGTTTAATAGCTCTGCTAAACTCAGTCCATTTAGACAGGGAAGTGGGTATACTTTGGCCCGGGAACACAGAAGCTTTGTGCGGAGTTGAAACTAGAAACCTGAGTACTCCAGACAAATCACTGGCCAAATAGAAGAATAAGCACTGAATCTGGTGGACAGCCAGAAAACGTGTACATACTTGAGCAATTTCCATTCTTGGTGTGTTCCATCATTTGTCATTGCAGCTCAGTGCCAGCATAAAAACTACATAAAAAGGCACCCTGGAAACTTTTGATTTCCACCAACAAGGTAATACATGTTCAGGAATGTATATAAAGGCTACACAGACCGCTTTATTGATTGGAATACAAACAAGTACAACCCCCTCTCCCCCCTCTAAAAAAAACAACAACAAGCATTCCTCTTCTTGAAGGAGAACTCTTCTTTTTTGTTGAAATTATTTGAGAAGGAGTCTATGAGTGTTGTCACTCATCTCCAGACCCAAACCTTGCTGTCCTATGAGCATGGCTCACTGCAGGAGTGGCCGCAGGTTGTCCGGCAACACTTCTGTTCCTCGGGGCACTGGCCGTCATGGTAACAGTACTCAGCACACATGGGGGTCCCCTTAGGCAGGGCACAGCGACCAGGTTTCACTAAGGTAACAGAAAAAAGGCGTTCAGTTATAAAGTAGCAACATTATGTAGGTTTATGGTAGCAACTATACTGACTATTCCCATTAAAGTTGTACTATTACAATGACATGGAATCTTTCTAATTCTATGGCTGGAATGCTCAGGGTCATTAATATAGACTCAATATGCCTGCACGGCTTGTGGAAATCTTCTTAATTTAGTGTCTCAGCTCTAGAGAGAGTGTACAGTGGGGAAAAAAAGTATTTAGTCAGCCACCAATTGTGCAAGTCTCCCACTTAAAAAGATGAGAGAGGCCTGTAATTTTCATCATAGGTACACGTCAACTATGACAGACAAAATAAATAAAAAATCCAGAAAATCACATTGTAGGATTTTTATGAATTTATTTGCAAATTATGGTGGAAAATAAGTATTTGGTCAATAACAAAAGTTTCTCAATACTTTGTTATATACCCTTTGTTGGCAATGACACAGGTCAAACGTTTTCTGTAAGTCTTCACAAGGTTTTCACACACTGTTGCTGGTATTTTGGCCCATTCCTCCATGCAGATCTCCTCTAGAGCAGTGATGTTTTGGGGCTGTCGCTGGGCAACACAGACTTTCAACTCCCTCCAAAGATTTTCTATGGGGTTGAGATCTGGAGACTGGCTAGGCCACTCCAGGACCTTGAAATGCTTCTTACGAAGCCACTCCTTCGTTGCCCGGGCGGTGTGTTTGGGATCATTGTCATGCTGAAAGACCCAGCCACGTTTCATCTTCAATGCCCTTGCTGATGGAAGGAGGTTTTCACTCAAAATCTCACGATACATGGCCCCATTCATTCTTTCCTTTACACGGATCAGTCGTCCTGGTCCCTTTGCAGAAAAACAGCCCCAAAGCATGATGTTTCCACCCCCATGCTTCACAGTAGGTATGGTGTTCTTTGGATGCAACTCAGAATTCTTTGTCCTCCAAACACGACGAGTTGAGTTTTTACCAAAAAGTTCTATTTTGGTTTCATCTGACCATTTGATATTCTCCCAATCCTCTTCTGGATCATCCAAATGCACTCTAGCAAACTTCAGACGGGCCTGGACATGTACTGGTTTAAGCAGGGGGACACGTCTGGCACTGCAGGATTTGAGTCCATGGCGGCGTAGTGTGTTACTGATGGTAGGCTTTGTTACTTTGGTCCCAGCTCTCTGCAGGTCATTCACTAGGTCCCCCCGTGTGGTTCTGGGATTTTTGCTCACCGTTCTTGTGATCATTTTGACCCCACGGGGTGAGATCTTAATAAATAATAATAATAATATGCCATTTAGCAGACGCTTTTATCCAAAGCGACTTACAGTCATGCGTGCATACATTTTTGTGTATGGGTGGTGCCGGGGATCGAACCCACTACCCTGGCGTTACAAGCGCCGTGCTCTACCAATTGAGCTACAGAGGACCACACTTGAGCTACAAGAGACCGATCTGGGGCTCTTGCGTGGAGCCCCAGATCGAGGGAGATTATCAGTGGTCTTGTATGTCTTCCATTTCCTAATAATTGCTCCCACATGTGATTTCTTCAAACCAAGCTGCTTACCTATTGCAGATTCAGTCTTCCCAGCCTGGTGCAGGTCTACTATTTTGTTTCTGGTGTCCTTTGACAGCTCTTTGGTCTTGGCCATAGTGGAGTTTGGAGTGTGACTGTTTGAGGTTGTGGACAGGTGTCTTTTATACTGATAACAAGTTCAAACAGGTGCCATTAATACAGGTAACGAGTGGAGGACAGAGGAGCCTCTTAAAGAAGAAGTTACAGGTCTGTGAGAGCCAGAAATCTTGCTTGTTTGTAGGTGACCAAATACTTATTTTCCACCATAATTTGATAATAAATTCATAATAAATCCTACAATGTGATTTTCTGGATTTTTTTTTCTCAATTTGTCTGTCATAGTTGACGTGAACCTATGATGAAAATTACAGGCCTCTCTCATCTTTTTAAGTGGGAGAACTTGCACAATTGGTGGCTGACTAAATACCTTTTTTCCCCACTGTATGTGAAATATATCTATATATGTGTATGAAATGTACTTTACAAGGTCCAGCTTTCTTGTTTCCAGAGTAAAGCAGCAATAATTAATGCAATGGACGGGTGTATCTGTCACTTTGGGACCATAACCTACCTGTGTAAGGTGCAATGCACTCATGCCCACATCCGTTGTGGCAGCATTTTTCATCATTGGGGCAGTCACTGTCATTGGAACAGAACTCGGCACACATCCCTGAGCCCCATCGTCTACGAGGACACACTCCTGGCTTTGCTTTGGGAACACAATTTGCAGAGCAGACATGTTAGGGAACCCAACTTACCACAAAGCGACATGAACCATTTTCTGAAAATCTGTCATATTTGTGACTAGATATTTGGGCCCCATCATCAATGTTTCCTTCAGGCCTATGTTCCCTCAGCCCTATATGTTCCATTTACATTTTAGTCATTTAGCAGACGCTCTTATCCAGAGCGACTTACAGTTAGTGAGTGCATACATTATCTTTTTATTTTTCATACTGGCCCCCCGTGGGAATCGAACCCACAACCCAAGCTCTACCAACTGAGCTACATCCCTGCCGGCCATTCCCTCCCCTACCCTGGAGGACGCTGGGCCAATTGTGCACCGCCCCATGGGTCTCCTGGTTGCGGCCGGCTACGACAGAGCCTGGATTCGAACCAGGATCTCTAGTGGCACAGCTAGCACTGCGATGCAGTGCCTTAGACCACTGCGCCACTCAGTGTTCCCTTAGCCTATATGTTCCCTCAGTAATCACTGAAACAATTTCAATAAAAATTGGCACAAATGCTTATTGTTATAAGGTAAAACATTATTTCAGCATCTACATAAGTAGTTAAGTAATAATAGTTAAGCATATATGGGACCTACTGAACATGTTCAGTCACTGTGACCTTGACCTTTTGTCAATATTACAGCCGAATTGCATTTTCTAAGATAGATTATTATTTGTATTTGTTTTGCATCTACTCAAGTAAAAATAAATGTAACGCCTTATCGGAGCAGTTCTATGCAAGGTACAAAAACATGCATCTAATCTGTTATTGACGGTTCTTATTTATTCATTCATGCAACAGCGGATCAACTCACCAAAAGACCTGTGTACATCAAGGATGTGAAAAATATACACGATGTAAAATATTAGTTTTCACATAAAGTTTTGGTCTATAATGTCCCTCTTTCCAGTTTTTCCTCCTCTTAAACAGGGGTACATTCCGTGCAGCTCCAACAAATACTAGATATTGAGAGATTTTGAAAAAAAAAACTATTCCTCTCATTTGGGTTGCCGAACCCTGGTTTAGAATATAGAAAGAACTGAAAGAACTTAGGGCTGAGGGAACATAGGCCTGAGGGAACATAGGGCTGAAGGAACATACATGGTCCCATACCAACCATTAGCTGTGCGATTAACGGGGTTTGTGAGACAAGGGCGGATCCTGAAAACGGTTCTTCTCACAAAGACGTCGGAAAACTCCAAACGGTTTGAGGTACAAGCTATTATGAACCCTACTATGAAAAGCTGAGACTCTCACGAACACGCACTGATTTGCTCTATGAAGCTCACATGCCACACAAGAGTCGTTAGAAAGCAAGAGTTCTTCTACATACAAGATCATAGGACACGCCAGAACATGTCTATAATGCTGTAATAAGCTCACATTGTTGCTGTCACAAACTCCAAACTCCACACAGTTGTCACTGACTAGTTGGATATTCATTTCTTACTAAGCAAACCATTTCTGTAAATTATTTTTTATCAGTTATTGTTTGGCGGACCTCATTTGTTTCTTGACATTAGTCAATAATACTCATGAAGGCAACTAATTTGTCTAATTCTTTTTCATTACATTTCTACTTCTACTTTCATGGTACTGAAAATAAAATCGTCAAACACTTAATTGTGAGGCTAAATATGAAGGCTGTACATATAGATAAATGAAAGTAGTGAAAAAACACAGATTTTTGCTGGGTATCGCTGGGCCTGATGAGGTTCATAAACCAGTCAGGTTCTTCTTACTGAAGGCAGTTGGGACACACACTGCGCCGCAGTCAAATACGCAGCATTTGTCATATCCAGGACAGTCCTCATCACAAAAGCATCCCTTGAGTGATGGCACCACGTTCAGAAGCCGCGGGCACTGACCTGGCTTCGGGAGGATTGGCACTGTGAGAGAGCAGGAGGAATCTTTGGAGTGAACTGGGGCGACCTCAAATCAACTTAATAACGGTGTAATTACTAAGTAGGCTTCCATAGAAACATTGCGGCAATGGATTACAAAAACAATTTGGTCTCGCGTTTTTTCTTTTAAAATAACCTTTTCCTTCATTTACGGTATATAAACATTCAGTGTAGGCTATGCGTAAAATATGCGTAAAATGGCCAAGGGAAAGGCTGGATTGTTTCAACCAATACATTTAAGTCATAATGGCTGGCTTGTATTTTTTTAAACAACACAATAGGATGCAAAATAGCCTATACACAATTAGGCCTATATAAGCTAGTCACTAGTGTCTCACATCACATAGGCAGGCCTACATGTCAAAAGGCTACTTAAAATAACTCATCAAATTGTCTTACTTTGTTTCATGACAAATAGTGACAAATAATGCAAAGTAATTTGAACAACTCACCTGTAGAATTTCCTCTAGTTTCTGCAGCAGAGATTATTTTCAAATCAAATGCCAACAGAACAATAACCAAAGCACAAAGCGCTGACGAATTCATTTCCATGCTGACTTCAAGACTATACTAGCTGGAGCAAATAGTCCAAATAGATTTCATAGAAGCGAGAGATCTGGGCTGCGTTCAGCATGAAAAAACGGTGTGCATCGTTCAATTAAACGGAAACGGGGCTGTTCTGAACGACAAGTTGAAAAACGTGGAGGGGTTGGGTTGTGGGTTCAGGCCAGGGTTGGGGAACGCTGTCAGCATCACTGATATATATGAACGGCCAGCATGGCCGCTGCCCTTTAAAAACGTCACTCATTGCTTCAAGCCACCACACCTTATTATACCACAGTAAGCCACACCCACCAAACGGAGCAAACATACGTCAAAGTCTGTTCAAGAACGTTGACGAACGTTTTGGGGAAACGTGTCGTTCAGTACAAACCGTCACGCAACGTAGCAAACGTTTAATCGAACTGAATGCACCCTAAAGGAGAGCCCAACGCATGGGGAACAATATGCCTGCAGGGTCCCTATGTCCCTGAAATTACATTCCGAGTTCGGATCCGAACACTTGTTTAGGTCACATCTAATAACAATTATTAAAGAGGCAATATGGAACTTTTTATGTGGGTTGCTCTTGATCCAAAAAGGGTGCCCCAAATGGACAGAAACATTTTCCAGAAATTAGAACACAAATTCGTAATTGGACAAAAAGGGGAACACCTCCCCAAACCAATCAGCAAAGCAAATATTGTTAGCCTACAACTAAGGATTTGTATGGTTTTGGATAAGAAATTGATTAATAATACATGAACCATACAGCCAACATTTACATACAGTGGGGAAAAAAAGTATTTAGTCAGTCACCAATTGTGCAAGTTCTCCCACTTAAAAAGATGAGAGAGGCCTGTAATTTTCATCATAGGTACACGTCAACTATGACAGACAAAATGAGGAAGAAAATCCAGAAAATCACATTGTAGGATTTTTAATGAATTTATTTGCAAATTATGGTGGAAAATAAGTATTTGGTCAATAATAAAAGTTTCTCAATACTTTGTTATATACCCTTTGTTGGCAATGACACAGGTCAAACGTTTTCTGTAAGTCTTCACAAGGTTTTCACACACTGTTGCTGGTATTTTGGCCCATTCCTCCATGCAGATCTCCTCTAGAGCAGTGATGTTTTAGGGCTGTCGCTGGGCAACACGGACTTTCAACTCCCTCCAAAGATTTTCTATGTGGTTGAGATCTGGAGACTGGCTAGGCCACTCCAGGACCTTGAAATGCTTCTTACGAAGCCACTCCTTCGTTGCCCGGGCGGTGTGTTTGGGATCATTGTCATGCTGAAAGACCCAGCCACGTTTCATCTTCAATGCCCTTGCTGATGGAAGGAGGTTTTCACTCAAAATCTCACGATACATGGCCCCATTCATTATTTCCTTTACACGGATCAGTTGTCCTGGTCCCTTTGCAGAAAAACAGCCCCAAAGCATGATGTTTCCACCCCCATGCTTCACAGTAGGTATGGTGTTCTTTGGATGCAACTCAGCATTCTTTGTCCTCCAAACACGACGAGTTGAGTTTTTACCAAAAAGTTATATTTTGGTTTCATCTGACCATATGACATTCTCCCAATCCTCTTCTGGATCATCCAAATGCACTCTAGCAAACTTCAGACGGGCCTGGACATGTACTGGCTTAAGCAGGGGGACACGTCTGGCACTGCAGGATTTGAGTCCCTGGCGGCGTAGTGTGTTACTGATGGTAGGCTTTATAACTTTGGTCCCAGCTCTCTGCAGGTCATTCACTAGGTCCCCCCCGTGTTGTTCTGGGATTTTTGCTCACCGTTCCTGTGATCATTTTGACCCCACGGGGTGAGATCTTGCGTGGAGCACCAGATCGAGGGAGATTATCAGTGGTCTTGTATGTCTTCCATTTCCTAATAATTGCTCCCACAGTTGATTTCTTCAAACCAAGCTGCTTACCTATTGCAGATTCAGTCTTCCCAGCCTGGTGCAGGTCTACAATTTTGTTTCTGATGTCCTTTGACAGCTCTTTGGTCTTGGCCATAGTGGAGTTTGGAGTGTGACTGTTTGAGGTTGTGGACAGGTGTCTTTTATACTGATAACAAGTTCAAACAGGTGCCATTAATACAGGTAACGAGTGGAGGACAGAGGAGCCTCTTAAAGAAGAAGTTACAGGTCTGTGAGAGACAGAAATCTTGCTTGTTTGTAGGTGACCAAATACTTATTTTCCACCATAATTTGCAAATAAATTCATTAAAAATCCTATTTTCTGGATTTTTTTTTCTCAATTTGTCTGTCATAGTTGACGTGTACCTATGATGAAAATGACAGGCCTCTCTCATCTTTTTAAGTGGGAGAACTTGCTCAATTGGTGGCTGGCTAAATACTTTTTTTCCCCACTGTAGGTGTCATGTAGCCTAAGGGTAAGAGTGGTCCTCTGTAGCTCAGCTGGTAGAGCACGGCGCTTGTAACGCCAAGGTAGTGGGTTCGATCCCCGGGACCACCCACACACAAAAATGTATGCACGCATGACTGTAAGTCGCTTTGGATATTATTGCATATTATTATTATTATTATAAGAGCGTTGGGCTAGTAACCGAAAAGTCGCTAGATCGAATTCACAAGCCTACAAGGTTAAAATCTGTCGATGTGCCCTTGAGCAAGGCCCTTAACCTTAATTGCTCAATTGCCGTTGATAATAGCAGACCCTGTCGGTGACCCCACTCTCCGAAGGTATATCAAGGAGAGTTGTGATATGCAAAAAAACATATTTCCGTTCACACATGCGTATTAATACACACTTGTACATGTGTGAAATTGGACAAATATAAGCACCCACCAAATTATTATGATTAACATTCAAGCCAAAATTTGCCATATACAATGAAACTGTTTTAAAATATACACTAACTGAACTTCAAATGAGATGGTAATTCAATGACTGAAAGGATTTCTGTTGAACTGCTGGTGACATTCCATAATGCATAATGATTCATAAACTAAATGTTTCAAAGTATGTAAAGAGATAGCACACTGCTGATTGGCTGATTTTGGGAAATGGTTTTAGTCCGTTGCCTATATATTGTATAATATTTTTTTTGTTTTGTTGAAAACGTATAATTAATCTTTAGGATGGTCTTTAGCCCTACACATGACCCATAATTGACTCACCTGTCATTGTTATGTTGGGCAGACGAATAAGCGTTTTTCCTTTGACTACCCTGACATCTAGTGGCTTAGACCGGATAACTATTTGGCGGACTAGATAAACGCTCAACATTGGATTTTCTTACATTGTCACTTTTATAATGTAAACCTCTATGAACAAAGTAATTGCTGTATTTCAACTTCCCTCCAAATTATGCTGTAGGACTATACACATCACATTCTATATGACTGACAGAGACAACTTAGGTTAGCTAAAGAGGAGATAGCCTATTGATTAATAAGAAAATATATAACATGTTGTGGTTCATATAGTGATAAAATGCATATGTCAGAAGAGGAGAATTTGGGAATATCGGACTGAGACTTCAGAGGGTAGCAACATACACTACTTACTATACAGCAATTCACAGAACATTAAGCTGACAATTTGTCAAGGGCCACCAACACTTCTGAGATCAGCCAGGAACCAATTCATAGCATGGCCCAATTATCCAGTGTACAGCTCATCACCTTGCCAGCATGACATTGAGATCGGCCCACAACGGAAATGATCTATTTCACAGAATGTTATGCATGTAGAATTAAATACTGTATTCGGTAGCACTTTATAATATATCCACGTAATAAAGCATATATAATGGCTTGGTAAATATGTTATGAATAATTTATTAAATCATTACTCCCACATTTGTAAATGTTAGTTACCTAGTTATTCACACATTTATAAACAACTTGTAAAGTATTTAATAATATTCATAAGGCGATTACATAAGATGTTTAATATAGGTCTTTATAAACTACTTTACTAATCATTAGTTAAGTCTTTTTGCGTGGCCTCATCTAAAGTGTGGGCTATTTATACTTTATAAATACTTTCTAAATGTTTTGAGTGACCAGTGCAATTTCTCACAAAACGATGGACATGCCATTGGTAGACATTCCAGCAGTACCTGATGCTCCTTAAGGTCTCAAAATGGCCCCTAGAACATATCAAAGGTTAAACAATAAGCACACAATATTCCAAAACGGTCACACTGTTGTGATACTGTGATCTGTAAATTCAGAAACACTATGCTGAGTAATATAACGTTTTTAGTCCAAAAATGCTTTTCTTGGCAGGGACTTTTCTACCACAGCCAAAGTGTGGATTGCAGCAGTCACTCCTTAGAGCAGTCTAATCTTGGTTAACCCAGAACTAAAATCTTGCGTAATTTGGTCAGCTGTGTGATTAAATTCTGCGTCTATAGAGCTCGCCAGCTTGTAGTCCTAAAAAACGGAAGTGATTTACCTCTGGTTCATTCAGCCATTCCTATTGGCAAAATTAATGGGGAAAGAATAGAGTCTGAGGTTAACACAGGTTCATGAGATCTTATACGTTTTGTTCTATGAGATAATATCAGTCAGTTATCATGACAATTATTAATTATGAAGACTTTATGTGCGTTATGTTTTTTAAATTACATAAATGCTTAAACATTTACAAAAACGGACATAAGCTGATGAAAATGATCTCATAGAACAAAACGTATAAGATCTCCTAAACCTGTCTTTACCACAAACCTTATTTTCGGCGTTTATCCAAAAGCCCTATAGAAACTCCATTCATTTTCCCATAGACTTTGTTCAACGAACCATGGCGGAGTTAGTGCCTACAAAAATACATTATTACTATTGCTCTCTATACATGTTATAAATTGGGAGTTTGTGAAGTCTCGGTTTGTGAAGTCTCCACACTTGCAAACGGAAACTCTTAATCAAAACCACCCACCCCCCTTTCGCTAATTTCACCACCAGCAAAGCATTTAACGTATTTTCTCACCCAACTACACACAATACCCCATAATGACAGTGAAAACATGTTTTTAGAAATGTTTGCTAATTTATTGAAAATTAAATACAGAAATGTAAGGGTTGGGGTGAGGTGTGACCCAGGTGCGGTGCAG